GATTATGGAGTGCAAGCAAAGGAGATCAAGCTGCTGTGTGACAATACAAGTGCTATTGCCATCACTCAGAATCCTGTGCTGCATTCAAGGACTAAACACATTGAGATCAGACATCACTTCATCAGAGATCATGTGGAGAAGAAGCACATCTCAATTGAGCATGTTCCAACTGAAGATCAGCTTGCGGATATCCTAACCAAACCTCTTTCAGAGGCTAGGTTTAATAAGTTGAGAGAAGAATTGGGAATGATGGATGATCTTCCCAGAGATTCATGAATCAGAGTTACAGAAGTATCAGATGTGGATTCATCAGAACACCCCATCTCTGATACCTGAGCTTTTATCCGTCAGAAGCTTGAATCAGAGTTGCAGAAGCATCAGACGTGGATCAATCAGAACTCTCCACCTCTGATACGCTTATCCATCAGAGAACCCTATGTCAGAATACCCCTTCTCTGATATATGGAATGTTATTCATCAGAGTGGCTGTGGACATAGAAAATTTTCTAAATTTCGGGCGAGACTGTTCAATAAACCGGAAGTTATCATTTTACCCCCGATAGTTATTACCATATTTGGAAAAACGGCTTTCCGCCCACAATCCATTTAATGCGACCTCGAAACCGCAAATTATATCAAACGTCCACTAACCCAAATTCATATATACCCATTCTGAAACCTAAATCGCTACTGCAATTTTACTCTTCGACTTCAAGCTTTATTTCTCCAAATCTCCAACCTTCAAACCTCTCAAATCTTTCCAAGAACCTGAAGATGAAGTTCATCAACATCACAGATCTCTCAGATTCTGAAGCCAAGGTGCTTGTGGCTAACATAGCCACCGGAATGAAAGTGGATATGTCTTCATTGCCGCTGCTGGCAGAAAATACTAAGGTGATGAAAGCGGTCATTGCCGGGATGAATGACTCGCAACTGACCAAGATAGTGGCTCATCCTTATGAGCACTTCAGCAACTTGGATGTGGCTGAGTTTTATCTCAACGCCTACATCGCTGACAACACCATCCACTCTCAAGTCCAAGGGAAGGACCTGAAGATTGATGCTGAAGCACTGAACGAGTTCTTCAACATCCAACTCGACTCCCAAGACATTGACACCCCTACACTCATCGACTTGGAGTCAGTCGAAGTCTCTGTGGAGACGTTTGTGCACACTTACTGCCGGAAGGATGCAACCGGAGTAGATAAGCTGTACATGAAGAAGAATGTCCTGAAGAAGGACTTTGAAAGACTGATGAGCATCATGCACAGATGCTTATGGTGCAAAACTGGGTCAACTGACCAGATGAACAATGCCAACTCCAAGGCCATCTATGCTGTTCATCGAGGAATGAACAACAACTGGGGAAAGGTGCTTTTCCAGTCCATCTCTGAGTCCATTGCTAAGAAGGACAAAAAGACAGGGATGTTCTCAACCAAGATGGGCCATGGCCTTCTGATTTCTCGACTGATATCCAATGTCAACATAGCGCTCAGAGAAGCCAATGAAGTCAACCACAACAAAACCATCTTTCTTACTGCATCCCCCAAACTACATGTGGCTGTTGCTGCAGAGTTGAAGAAAACCAGCAAGCTTGAGCAATTAAGGGAGAAACCAGTTACTACAGCTGTGGTTGATGATGGACAACCCAAAGGGAAGAAGAAGAAGGTTCAGAAGAAGCCTGACTCCACCCCAGAGAAACCTGCATCAGAGGGTGACGCATCAGAGAAGGATGCACCAGCTGAGGCTCCTGTCAAAAAGATGAGACAGAAGAGGAGAAGAAGATCTCTCATTCAGAGTGACTCTGATAGCTCCAAATCTCCTATCAGAGTGGCAAAGAAGAAGAAGAAGGTTCTCTCATCCCCTAAAGGATTAGCACCTCAGGGGGAACCAGCACCAGAGTTGGCTGCTGCACTGGTGATCTCTGATGCTCAGGGGGAACCTGAGTCAGAGGTCCAACCTATCTCTGCACCAGCACTGCAAGTCACCATCTCTCCACCAGAGCACCCAACCTCATCAACTGGAGTTCCTGAGGTAGATCCCATCTCTGCCCTTGAGAAACAATTTCAAAGGGTGCTAACATGGAGGAAGTGGAGAATGGGACCTCTGCAGCAAATTCTTGCCCAAGCTGCCACTTATGAAACTGAGGAAGTTGAAGTCCTCAAATGGGCAGGTACTGATGATGTCTCTCTATGCTTCGACCTTCCATTTTTACATTCGGTTCTTGAAAAGAAGAAGGCAAGCCACAAAGGCAAGGAGAAGCTGACTACTACCTCATCAGACGAGCATGTCAAAGCTTTATCTGAACACGAGGTTCCCATCCTTGAAGCATGGCTGATGGAGAAGAAAAGGAGGGAGTCTCTAATCAAGATGAAACCTGTTCCAGGTATAGAAGGAGAGCCATCAACTGCCAATGATATATCTCTGGCAATGCAGAACCTTATCAGAGAATGGAGAGAATCTCCAGTTGAAGAAACGGTTTTAGAGGTAATACCAGTATCTCCTATTCCTCTAATTACTTTGCAACCAACTCCATCTCCCCCACACTCACCTCCCAAATCCCCTTCACCCAAACCAACCACACCAGCCTCAACTCCGTCTCCTCTACAAATTCAGAAAACACCCACTTCATCTCATAAGAAATCCTCACCTAAACAACCCTCACCCTGCCATCAGATAACCCCCATCAGAAGCCGATCACCCTCACCTCCTCCTTCACCCCAACATCAGAATACCCCCGCTCTACAAGCTCAACCTCATCAGAGCTCAGCCAATCAGAGATCCAAGTCTGCTCCTCATCAGAAATCCTCCAAACCTCTCTCTCCACAACATTCTGCAGCCTCCACTCAGAAAAGAGAGCCAGTTGTAAGGATTCTTTCCTCAACTGAAGACAATGATGGCTTTCTCACAGCTTCAATGGCTGGTGATCTTCAATCTGCCAAGAGAAAGACTCCTACTCCTCCTCCATCTCCTGCTCAACAACCGCAGGTCAATCATATACCTCAGCCAGAACCTCCAAAAGCTGTCCTCATCCCCTTCCAGGAGTTTGTGGAATCAGCTGAAGACTTTGGAGATCAGATGATTGCAGGACTGAACAAGTTGCTTGTACTGAATCAGAAGCATGATGCTCACCTTGATTTGGTACAGTACAACATTGAATCTGAACTCGCCAAAATCTCAACCTCTCTTTCTACACTGGCAACAACATTCCTCAGTTACATGAAGGCATCCAATGAGAAGGTTGATAACATAGCTTCAGAGGTTGCTAGTCTACACACAGTCTTGTTCTCACAATCTCAGACTCTGACAGCACAGGACAAGGCCATTCAAGAATTATCTCATGCTGTTGACACTCTACAATGGTCTCATGACAAAAATGCAGAGCATCTGACAGATGTGGAGGAAATCTGCAAGACCAACAAAGAATTTAGTCTCAAACTGATCAACACTGGCAAGGAAAGAGATCACAAGCTGACTCTCCTGGAAGCTACTACAAAAGATATCCAATCAGCTGTTGGCAAGCAGAAAGAGACTCTAGAAGGGCTGGCTTCTGTAACTCAGACTCTTCCAGGAGCTCTCGAAGCAATCAAAGAAAACAATGCCACTGAATTCTCCAAAATTGGACTCCTACTTGGTGATCTTGTTGATGCCAAAAAGGGGGAAGAAATCAGAGAACCTGCTAAAGCCATCAGAGCTGCAGAAGGAACTAGCACCAGAGCTGTTGATCCTGCAGAATATTTTGAAAGGGCAAAACAAAAGAGGATTGCTGCTGGTATTCAGAGACCAACTCCTCCAAGATCAAAGAAAGGAAAGAAGACAGCCTCCACTTTCACTTTGGCCCAATGGCTCAACAGTGACTTGGCTAAACCTGATGCTGCTCAATTCAGAGAGATGAAGAAGCATATGACCCCTATTCAACAAGAGAATCTCATTCTGGATAAAGATGGGCTAATAATAATTAACCATGGTGGGTCAATGCAAGAAGCAGAAGACTGGTGGCGAATGAAAGTGATCCCTGGCAAGGACCTGTCTGAAGCCATCAGAAACTATCTAGATTGTCAGCTTGCACCTGCCTGGTCAGAATATCAGAATCCCAGGAACCTTGCTACAATCAGAGCAAGAATAAATGCTGATCTAAAGGAAATTGAAGCGAAGGAAGCTCAACTAGAAGAGGAAGATTTCTAAACTCTATCCTATTGTTGCTTTAAATACTCTTCCTTAATAAGATAACCAGCTTGCCTCTATTTTGCATGACAATTTCAAATTCCTTATACTTGCACTCTGATTATTTATGCTCTGATATCTTGTGTTATTTCTTATTTTGCTTATCTGATTGATTGTATCTTACTCTTACTATTTTCCTATGCCAAGTGCCCACCAAGATTTTGAATGAAAGTTTATTTTTAACTTATTTTCCTTCATGGTGAAAGGCACTTCTCTGGAAATAGTTTAAGGGTTTTGGCATCATCAAAAAGGGGGAAATTGTAAGGAATAAATGTAATTAGATTTTGATGATGCTAGGTTTAGTTAGATTAGAATTTTTAAGTACCCCCAATTAGATTTTATGTATTAGAATTTTCAATTGTAAGTATTAGTGTAGTCGACGATCAGAGCTGCTCTGCTTTGGATCAGATCAGAAGTGCATCAGAATTGCTCGACCAGACTTGCTCTATGAGAACTGCTCCATCAGAGTTCTCTTATCAGAAGTCCATCAGAGTTGCACCATGAGAGTTGCTGATAAATTGGACATCTGATAACCGATGAGAGTTACAGATCAGAGGTACTCATCAGCGGACCTATCAGAGTCAGAATTAGAGTTCAGTCATTGATCAGAAAGCCATCAGAACTCAACTCATCAGAAAGCCATCAGAACTCAGGAAGCCATCAGAATCCAACACATCAGAAGAGCCTGATCAGAGCCCGACTGTAACACCGTCCCCAAATATATTTACTTTTATGTAAATAATGTATCGAACCTTATTAAAGGATTAATGAATTTACGAAGTTGTAAATTTTTATTATTTCTTTCGCGTGAATAGTAAATTGCACGTGGGACCCACACCGGGAGCGGGGGCCGCCCGATATTCCCGAGATCACATAAATTATTCTTATGGGTCGAAATAATATTTATATGGTGGTGGACATCTTGTTTGGGCCATGGGAAGGCCTGGGGTTGACCGATCGGTCAAAAGAAGCCCAATTACCGGTACCGACAATTTAACGGATAACAGCCCGAACTGAATTTCGGGGACTTCTAAATTAATGTTTTGGAATATATATTATTTCAAAAGGCCATTACGGTTGGGAACACGTAATATATTTTATTGGACCCGATAAAATAAAATATATTTAAAACAGTCCGAAAAATACAACTTTCGGGACCGATTGTACACATCGGGACACAAAGGGATGACCTCCCACATGAGTGGGGGCCACCCCACGTTTTTTTGTGCTCAATTAGACAAAGGGGAGCTGGATATGACAAAGGAAGGTGTGGAGGAGGAGGCTTTGGCATCAAAGTACAAGGATGACCCCTCACCCATCACACATTTTGTCATTTGAGACAAAATAAACCACTCCCTCTCACCTCAACCATCCAACTCGTCCAGCCCCATATTTTTGAGAAGAAGAACTCTCAAAATACTCTTCCTCCATATCTGAACTCGAGCTCAAGGAAGGAGGTCCAAAGAGGAGGGCTTGTAGAAGGAAAAAGCTAGGAAAAAGTGTGAAAATTGAGGTAATAACCTTATCATAACTCTTCCCTTATTTTTCTTCTATCATATGAGATATATGTCATATGAAGAACCCTTAGGATTGTTCTACATGGTGTGAGTGTGGAATAATGGGTTGGAAAGTGATTCTATGTCCAAGAACGGACTTAGAAGCCAAAACGACCGGTTCACCGGAAAATAACCGTTTTGAGGTTATTTGTATTAATATGGGTTTTATGATTATAAAACCTTGTTAGGAACTTGTGAAAGGTATTTCAAGTGATTTCACAAAGTTGGAAAAGTCGCCGGAGTTGTCGCCGGAGTTGACCAAAAGTCGCCGGAGTTTCACCGGAGTTCAACCAAGAAGGGTAGAACTTCATAACGCTAGTTCAAGGTGAGTGGACGGCTTAATATCTTATAACTTTTGGGTTAATTATAAGCTTACCTAAATAAATGTTATATGAATTCATAATGATGTTTAAAAGATATTTAAACATGTGATTAGCCAATAGGGTTAAGTTGGTATGAAAGAAATAGATTGTTTATGCATAGAATATGATATGGAGAATTATATAAAATGCATATTTGCTTGAAGTGTATTAGAAGCACAAATGAATATTTTAACTTAATTATGTGATGATTAAGTTGATTTGTACAAGGTTTGTAATGGCGGTCAACGACCACGTGACCGGTGGATAAGGGATTAATTAATACCGGTCGATATTAATTAATCGAACATTTACATAATTGCATGGCTTTGCATGGAATGTGATACATAAGTTTTATGTATTGAATTAGTTATGAATGGCTAAATATGATATAGACCCTATCTAGTGTGATATGTGGTAAGTCATAGGTCGGGTGGAGTACCCAAGGATCGGGCGGTTATCCTCAAAACTCGGTTATATAGGGTGGAGTACCCAAGGATCGGGCGGTTATCCTCAAAACTCGGTTATATAGGGTGGAGTACCCAAGGATCGGGCGGTTATCCTCAAAACTCGGTTATATAGGGTGGAGTACCCAAGGATCGGGCGGTTATCCTCAAAACTCAATTATAGGGTGGAGTACCCAAGGATCGGGCGTGTATCCTCAAAACTCATAGATTACATTTAATGATCTAGGACCGGGCGGTGTCCTTATGATGATTTATTTGAACAAGGAGGAGTTCTATACACTCATAGGTATATGGGTGGGTTGGGATTTAAGTCAAGGATATTGGCTACTATTATTTTCCCAAATAAACAATGACCTACGGGTCGGGTATTTCCAAGTGTATGTATACTAATATGTATTTCAAACTTGGGGGAAAGACTATACGTATATGTATCATCCTATGTTTGGGTCTTATACTTGAAACGCTAGTTATTCTATATTTAGCCTGCTACTCGTTCGGTACTTGTACTGACCCCTTCGGGGGGCCCCACCATTTTCAGGTTGAAGCTAGGGCTTGCTACCTGCACCTTTCTACGGGTGACATCAAGTCAAGGAAGACGTGGTTCGTGCTTCCTCATTTCCTTTCAAATGACTAAACATTGCTCATGGATATTTTTATTTGTTATAAACTACTTTTGGGGCTTGCATGCCCATGTACGTTGTTGGCCGGTTGTGGCTTATGACTTACCGTTGAATATTTCCGCTATTCATTGGTTTAAGTGTGATGTTGTTATGTATGTTTACTACTGAGTATGGATGGTTTATATTCTCGAACGCCTTGTGCAATTAAGTGAGGTTGACTCGCGGGTGACGTCACTTGATTATACGGCGGTTGTACACGCGCTTGGATTGCGGTCTGGGGCGTGACAATTAAGTGGTATCAGAGCCATCTCAGTTCTAAACTATATAATCAACCTCTCACATGAGATTTTACAAAAGAGTTTTTACCGAAAACCATGGGCATTGTATTTTGACGTTTATGGGACTATTGGAGCTTAAGTTGCAAGGCCTCTAATTGTTAAGACGGTACCCTTAACAATTGGTATGGTGGTGACTTGGGCCAATACGTGTCTGTAGCGTTCTTCCGTCAATTGACATTCACATTTATAGGAGTCTAATGACTCATCCATATTTCTTTCAGAAATGGAGGGCAGGCGAATGCGGACCAGGAACAATCCGAGGGGGCAGGCGCCGGTAACATCCCAAAGGGGAAGCCGGGCTGCATCTCGGGGTTCAAGAGGAGGCCGTGGAGGCCGTGGAAGCCGTGGAGGTCATCAAGCTCAAACTGTGAGTGATGGCCATGTAAGCTCGGTGTATGAAACCAACACCGAGGACTATGACTCTACGTATGTTCCTGAGACAGAGCATGAGGAGACCCCATATGATGGAGGTGACACATACACCGATGAGGACAATGATGAAAGTGATGCCCGCTTCGCCCAAATGGGTGAATTACTTGAGTGGTATCAAAAGGAGAAACTGAGGAGAGACCTTAGGCGCCAAGCGAGGCGTGGCTCTCGTGGTGGTTCGGGTCAAGGGAGCCGGGGAGCTTCCGTGGCCACCCCAGCGGCGTCACAAGGTGGGCGTGAAGGAGGTTTTGTTGTGAGAATCTCCAAGTACCTCAAGGAGGCTAGGGCCTTGGGGTGTAGGTCCTTTGACGGCACCGGTGACATTACCGTTGCCGCCGATTGGATTAAGAAGGTGAAGGATGCATCAAGAGACATGCAAATCACACCGGACGTGAAGTTGACTGTCGCTTCACGGCTTTTTTTTTTTTTTTTTTTTTTTTTGAACCCGGTAGGGAAACCACCTAAGTCGGTGGTGCAAATGCCGGGGAACATTTGCCAGATTTTATTAATAGAAATCAAAGATACAAAAGAGAGGGGGACCAAACCAAAACCTCTCTAGAAAAGGCATACCTTTTCGAAATACATGGGAGAAAAATGCAAAAGAAATTAAAGAGAAAAAACATTGGGGAGGCTATACCTGACCCAATGTGTGAAATACTAATAATATCTAAAATAACAAAGACCAAGCTTATCCGTAAGTAATGCTTTCCTAATATGGCTAGGAATTTCAATAGGATTGTAAATAACATTAAAATTATCTGAAGTATATCTGGATAAGAAATGAGCGGGCCAGTTAGCTTCTCTCAGTACATGTCTGAAACGAACACCTTCCTCGACCATCCATCTCCTCATTTCATCGATCATGCTTCGTCTTCCTCCAAGGCTTTTATCCCTAAGAATAATATCAACAGACTCCCTGGAATCCGATTCAACCTCAAAGCATCGATATCCATGACCAATCGCCCAACCCACCGAAATTGATAAAGCAACAACTTCAGCATCCAAGGAAGATCTGGCCGAAATAGGAAACTGAAGAGCAAAAACACAGTTACCAGAACGGTCTCTCATTACCGCTCCTCCTGCTGCGGAAATTTGATTAAAAGAAGCATCGACATTCATCTTCATCTCCATGACAGGTAACTTCCACTTAATCAAATAAATCTGAGGCTTCTTACACTTGAAACTTCCAGAAATAAGACCTTCCTCGATTAACATAGGAGTAATAGCAGCATGTTTAACTTTACTCAACTTAACCAGAGCCCAATCTTGAGTAAAAAGTTTAATTTGATGGATAATAGACCGATTGGATGGTAGTGTATAATGATCTCCCCAAATGATTTGAGAATAACTTTTCCAGATGTGCCAAGCAATGATTCCGGCCAAATTGTGCTTGAAAACATCTCCAATCGATTTATATCCTGCTTCCAACCACCAAGAAATAAGAATCTGCCTAATAGAAGTCTGTTCCACCGGATATGGAATTCCAAAAATTCCCATAAAATACTTCCAAATATCCCTAGCAAACGAACAATTAAAGAGAATGTGGTCCATTTGATCTGAATCCTGCTTACAAAAGGGACATATGGTAGGATAGATTACTAAATTAAATCTGACCAAATTGTCTGGAAATGGCAGAATTCTGTGTAAAATTTTCCATTGGAAAATTTGGACCTTACTAAATTGCTTTGTGTGCCAGGTATGGGAAAACGAAAAGGTCTTTGACCTGCTCCATCTGATTTCATTGAAGGCAGAAGCAAGGGTAAAAAGACCCCTATTCTCAGGTATCCAAACAAGTTCCCCATTACTTTCTTCAGTAATTAGATGTCTCCCAGTATTATGTATATTACAAATTCTCTTCCAAATAACTGAATCAGCACATTTTGGAACCATGTTGCCCCCCCTGGGGTATCTGGCATGGCAAAAGGAGGCCCAAATTGAGTTATTATTCTTCCACTTCCACCACAACTTGAGAGAAAATGCTTTTTCAATATCTGAAAGTAATCTAATTCCCAATCCCCCTTCATCCTTGGGTAAACAAAGTTCTTTCCATTTCAGCCAATGATATCTGTTTATGTTATCCTTGGAACCCCAGAAGAATTGGGACATTTTCTTTTCTAAAATCCTGATGACAGCCTTAGGCATAGTATCCACTGCTAATAAATGTAAGGGAATGGTATTAAGAACATGCTTAATGAGAACAAGCCTGCCCCCTTGATTCAGGTTCCTCTGTTTCCATGCAGTCAACCTATTATCAAATGCTTGAATAATATCAGTACAGTAGGTGATCCTGTTAATACCTTTATGAAGTGATGCACCCAGGTATTTCATGGGAAGATTAACTTTTGTCATACCCAAAAGCCTTTCAATTCTTCTAACTCCAGCCAGAGGAGTTTTACCACAACAAAAATTACTTTTGCCAAAATTAATAACCTGCCCAGATGCATTCTGGTAGAGGCTAAGAAAATTCTTGAAATTCAAAATGGATCTGGATTCCCCGTTTAAAAAAATTAGAATGTCATCCGCAAAACAAAGATGAGAAACAGGATGCCCAAATTTACCAAACCAGAAAGGCTTGATAGCATTAGATGACATAATAGCCTTAATACCCCTAGAAAAAGCTTCAGAAGCTAGGATGAACAAAAAAGGTGAGAGAGGGTCCCCCTGCTTAACCCCTCTGCCGGGCTTGAAAAAGCCTTTAGGAGATCCATTGATTAAAACGGAGAAATAAGTGGCCTTTAAATGTCTCATGACCAGATTGATGAAAAAATCAGAAAAACCAAACTTTGATAGGATAGCTTGTAGAAAATCCCAGGACACTCTGTCAAAAGCCTTAGCCATATCAAGCTTCACCACCAAATTAGAACCTCTAACCTTCTTATCAATAGAATTGATCATTTCTTGAGCCACCAAAACGTGGTCAGAGATGTCTCTACCATGCATAAAACCTGCTTGTTCAATAGAAATAAGTCTGGGAAGAATAATGCTAAGTCTAGCTGCCAAAATTTTTGTGCAAACTTTACTAATGAAATTAGAAAGGCTGATTGGTCTGAAGTCTGCAAAAGTTGACACCTTATTCTTCTTAGGAATGAGAACAATAAGAGTGCTAGACATAGCCTTTGGAATATGGTTACCTAAAAAGAAATCTTGGACAGCCCTAACCACATCCCAACAAATAATATCCCAGCATTTTCGATAGAAAAAACCATTGTAACCATCAGGCCCTGGAGCACCATTTTTATTAAGATCCCACACTGCTTTTTTAACCTCCTCAATGTCAGGCAATTTTAACAACATATTATTATCTTGATCCTCTACTAATCTTGGTATATATTGCAGGAGCTTATCAACATCATGAACTGTTTCAGCAGTAAATATACGTGTGAAATATTCTTCAGCAATTTTCCCAATTTCCTCTGGATCAGAAACAAGATTCCCACCAGAATCTTTAATTGAAGCTAAGTGCTGCATCCTTCTTTTAATATTAACATAGGAATGAAAGAAATGGGTATTGGAATCACCTTCCTTCAACCATTTGATGTGGGCTCTTTGCTTCCAAAAAGATTTTTCTTGTTTATATCGGAGCAGTAAGACAGCTTGTTTGAGAGACCAACATTCTCTATTAGACTCATCAGGATAAGATTCATAGTTTTTTTCAGCATCCAAAACTTCATGTTCCAACTTTTTGATATCAGTAAAGATATTTCCAAAATAGTCTTTATTCCAATGCTTCAAAGCCTGTTTCAGAAACTGCAGCTTATCATAGAAACCCCTCATTCCCCCAGAAGTGTTACAAGCCTTCCATGAATTCTCAACAACATTTAAAAAGTTAGGGTGAGAAACCCACATATTTTGAAATTTAAAAGCCTTCGGTCCATGTGTTGACTGCCTTTTACATTGCAGCAAAATAGGGTTATGATCCGAAGAAGCCTTATTGAGATGATTGATTTGTATGGAATCAAAGAGAGCCAGAAAGGGAGAATTAAACAATACTCTATCCAGCCTGCGCCAAAGTCTCCCATTTGTTCTAACACCAGACCAAGTATAAGAGCTGCCTTGAACAGGTAAATCCACTAAATCACACTCAGCAATACAATCTCTAAATTCTGTCATGCTAATAATAGATGGTGAGGATAAACCTTTATGTTCAGCAAGGTTAGTAATAGCGTTGAAGTCACCCCCCACCATCCAAGGATCCTTATTAGTAGCCGCCCAATCAGTAAGAAAAGACCAAAGGTATCTTCTCTTAATATAGCTGTGATCACCATAAATAGAAGTGTACCAGAAGAAATTTGATCCAAATATAACTTTCATGTGAATATATTGACTCCCAAAAGAAAAGTCCGAGATATCAATATAATCAGCATTCCAGAACAGCCAAATTTTATTATCATTGCAACAAAAACTTTTATTCGTCCCCAGATCCCTATAAAAATCTGAAATTTTTGACAAATCAACAATAGGTTCAATAACAGTAAGTAAATGAATTCTCCACTGTCTAATGAGCTCCCGTAGCCTTGGACAGGAAGAGACAAGGCCACGTACATTCCAAATAAGACTGTTCATCATGGTAAAGCATTGAAAGCCTGACACAGCTTTTTGGCTGCATATCTGGTAAGTCTAGGTGTGTCAGGCACCACTTGTATTGGCTGTTTCTTCTTTTTTCTGGCCACCTTAATAAAACCAACATCATTAATCTGTTTGTTTAAATCCAGGGATGCGAGGAGATCTTCCTCACTGATCAGGACAGGATTTCTTCTTATAACTGCATCAACCTTTTTGGTAAGCATTGCTTGCCCATCTTTCCATTTTTTGCTGTTTTCAATGAAACAAAAGTCACCATCTGACGAATATCCCTTTGCACAGAGTTTAGGATCATATTGGTCACGCTGAATCTTTTTTAGTAACTGATAATCATCAGCAGCCCTTTCACCATGCTTAATGACATCAAATTTTTGCATATCCATGTTTACAGGTTCATCCGTAACCTCCTGTGAAGCAGCATCAATAGCCTCTTGTAAACTAGCAACTGGATGAGCCTGCTCAATAATCTCCTGGATAGCAGAATCTGAAGTAATCTTCTCCAGAACCTCTTGAATAGCTACAACATTAGCCTTCTCAAAGGGAGTCAACACTTCAGTATAAATTTCCTCCACATCTGAATCATTTTCCAAGGATTTAGATGTGGAAGGAATGTCTTTCACAGTGGATTTAGATGTAGTCTTATGTTTATCCCTTCCTGTAATAGTATTCATAAGGTTATGTTTCTCCCCATCTGTAATTTGAGTAAAGTGCTGGATGGGAGCCCCATTTTTCAAACCTTCCCCTGTTTTCCCAGATAACTTAGGCTTAGCAACCCATTTCTCCTTTGCTGGCAGTAAAGGGGGATCATCAACATGATCCTTAGATTTCAAA